CTCTGATTATTTATGCTCTGATATTTTTTTTATCTGACTTATCTGATTGATTGTATCTTACTCTTGCTATCTTCCTATGCCAAGTGCCCACCAAGATTTTGAATGAAAGATTATTTTTAACTTATTTTCCTTCATGGTGAAAGGCACTTCTCTGGAAATAGTTTAAGGGTTTTGGCATCACCAAAAAGGGGGAAATTGTAAGGAATAAATGTAATTAGATTTTGATGATGCTAGGTTTAGTTAGATTAGAATTTTTAAGTACCCCCAAATTAGATTTCATGTATTAGAATTTTCTGATGTAAGTATTAGTGTAGTCGACTATCAGAGTTGCTATGTGGATCTGATCAGAGCTGCTATAAGAGAACTACCTTCAGAGTCGTTCATCAGAGAACCATCAGAGTTGCTCTCAGCAGTTCATGAGAGTTGCTCATCAGAGAAGCATCAGAGTTCGATGAATAACTGCATCAGAACTCAACATCTGACAATCATCAGAGTTTCCGCATCAGAGCTCGACTTGAAACTACATCAGAGCTACTCATCAGAAAGTCATCAGAATCCAACGTATCAGAATCCGACTAACACTTAGAAAATTTCAAGCAACATCCAACAGCTATGAATCCAATGGGTAAAAACATCCAACGACTAGAAGACTGTGCATGAAAGGAAAGCATTTAATGCACATTAAATGAGCCTGATACGCTGAAGGATTGATTGCAAATGATTGACCAAGGAATCCGGGAAGATATATTATAAAAATAGAAACCTTCCAAAACGGCGGTCAAGTCAACAGTACGCGCATTTAATGCAGTTGTCTCCTCCTCCAACGGGCAGACAACCTAAGTATATAAGCTACACGAAGAAGAACAAGGAAGACAACCTTTGCTCCATTCATTACTCTGAACATACTTCTTGAGATTCAACCTTCATAACACTCTACAAGAAAAGTCCTACGTTGGGAAGATTCAAACTCCAAATCTTTCATCCCCAACAACGAGCAAAGTTCATCCTGTTCTTCAACTCTTCAAGAACTTCATCAAACATCATTTGTGACGAAGCAAGTTGGAGGAAAAACTTTGTTTTTCAAAGGATCTTCTGAAAAGAAGGGCGTCCAAGTAACTGCAGTAGTGAAGTGGTGATACTTCCGGGAAGCTGAGTGAAAGGACCAGCCATCAGGACGTGGAACTGCATCCTGGGTGGCAGCTAGGCTTGAAGAAGGCGTGGAGAACTTCTTAAGTGCTAGGAACTAAGCTTTGTAACCGATCTACTTCAAAGCTAGTGGAACAGTGGACTAGAGGAACGCGTTGTTCCTTGAACCACTATAAAAATATCCGGTGTCATTTACTATACTGCAATTTATATTTCTGTACTTAGGACATTAACTGATTAACTCTAAGACTTGGAATCTGTGTTCAGCAGATCTTGTTTTCAGAGTTATCAGAAAGGCATTTGCCTTAGTGTTTCTGAGGCTACCCGGACAGATCAGAATCCGCTGCCAAGGCCAGTTCTGATATCAGAACCAGCCTTCCTCTGTTACCAGAGTACGACCTTCTCTGATAAGTCAGTTTGGACTTAGAGAAAAATTTGAAAAACCCATCAGTCTATTCACCCCCCCCCCCTCTAGACTGATTACTATTTAATCGGGACCAACAGGAGTCACACTTGACGTGGATCATTCTAGCCTTCAGATTGGCTGCCAGCCGAAGGCCGCAGAGGAGGGCTTCGTACTCAGCTTCATTGTTGGAGACCTTGAAGGAGAAGCGAATGGCATAGTAGGCCCGGAAGCCTTCGGGTGTGATAAGGACTACCCCTCCTCCGCAGGCTTTGGTGGCCGAGGAGCCGTCGGTATAGAGGGTCCACCATTCATCAAGAGGTGCCGAAGGCTCCTCGTCTGTTGCTGACCTTGTCGTGCATTCCGTAACGAAGTCTGTCAGGGCTTAGCCCTTGATAGCAGGCCTCAGACGAATGTCTATGTTGTATTGGCTAAGGAAGATGGCCCATTTCACCATTCGGGAAGAACTTGTGGGGCTCCTCATGAGGGTGCCTAGGGATTGATGTGTGAGCACTTGGACTGGATGGGCTTGAAAGTAGTGGCCAAGTTTCTTGACGGTCCAAACGATGGCTAGCACTGTCTTCTCGACGGGAGAGTACCTGAGTTCGGCCTCCCGGAGGGTTTTGCTGACGTAGAAGATGGCATGCTGGATGCCATCTTCCTCCCGGATGAGCACTGAGTTGATGGCAGCGGGGCTAACACCAAGGTATAAGTACAAAGTTTCCCCTACCTTCGGTTTGGAGAGCACCGGGGGGGGGGGGAAGAGAGGTACTTTTTAAGTTCGTCGAAGGCCTCTTGACATTCAGATGTCCATTGAAAGCCCGCTGTCTTCCTCATGATTTGGAAGAAGGGGAGAGCCTTCTCAGCTGACTTGGAGAGGAAACGGTTGAGGGCTGCCAGGCGACCCGTCAACCGTTGGACTTCTTTGACGTTGCGTGGAGGCTCCATGTTGATGATGGCCTGAATTTTCTCGGGGTTGGCCTCAATACCCCTTCGGCTGACCATGTAGCCTAAGAATTTCCCTCCTTGTACACCGAAGGTGCATTTCTTCGGATTTAGCCGGAGATTGAATTTTTGCATGATGGCGAAGATTTCCCGGAGGTCCTCAGCATGAGTGCTTGCCTTCTTGCTTTTGACGATCATGTCGTCAACGTAGGCCTCCATGGTGCACCCCAGGACAGCTTGAAAGACTCTGGCCACCATGCGGGTGTAGGTGGCGCCTGAGTTCTTGAGGCCGAAGGCCATCACAAGATAGCAGAAGATGCCTTCAGATGTCATGAAGGCGGTTTTCTCAGCGTCTTCCTCATGCATATAGATTTGATGATATCCGCAGAATGCGTCGAGGAATGACATGATCTCGCATCCCGCGGTTTCATCTACCAGTTGATCAATGTTTGGTAGAGGGAAGGGATCCATGGGGCACGCCTTGTTAAGATCTGTGTAGTCCACACACATGCGGAAAGTGGGGGGCTTCTGTGCGAGGACTACGTTTGCCAACCAAGAGGGGTATTTTACCTCCTTGATGTGTTTGATAGAGAGGAGCATGGCCACCTCCTTCTTCACGAATTCCCTTCTTTCGGCCGAGAGGGGTCTCCTCCGCTGCTGTACTGGTTTGGCCGAAGGGTCCACCGCCAGGCGGTGGGTGATGACCCTTCGGTCAATTCCTGGCATATCCTCCGGCCCCCATGCAAAAACAATGGAGTAGGCGCGGAGGGCTTTGGTGATGCCAGCCTTCAGGTCTTCGGGGAGCTTGGCTCCAATCTTCAGGACTCTCTCCGGCTTGGCTGGATCGAGTATCAAGTCTTCTGTCTCCTCGGCTGGCTCAGCCCTCGGCCTGCCTTCTTCTTCCTCCAAGGCCTTGGTGGTGATGGTGTCAACACGAAATTCAGTCTTACTAACCTTCTTGGTAAGGTGAAGGTAGCAGGCCCTGGAGAGCTTCTGATTCCCCCTCGAGTAACCGATGCCGGTAGGCGTGGGGAATTTGAGGCAGAGATGCCTCATGGAGATGACGGCTTCCAAGTCTTCGAGGGCAGGCCGGCCGAGGATGATGTTGTGCGCGCAGTCGAGGTTGACGACGACGAACTCCACTTCGAGCTTGGCTCTATGGGATCCGTCGCCGAATTCAACCATGAGGGTGATCACGCCCTCGGCGTCTATGCTGTCCCCTGTGAATCCGGAGAGGGGGGTGTTGATGTGCCGAAGGGATCCCCTGTCGAGTCCCAACTCTTGGAAAGTGCTGAGGTACATAATGTTGACAGAACTCCCCGTGTCCACGTAAGTCTGGAGGATGATGGCGTCATTAATTTCTGTGCGGATGACGAGGGCATCCCTATGTGGCAGAGTGCCCGAGGGGAGGTCCGCATCTGTGAAGAAGATGGGCTCCCCCCTCGGCCTCTTAGTTGGGGGCATGTGGTTGACCTCCCCAACGTAGAGGGATTGAGCCCATTTCTTTCGCTGGCTGGTGGAGTCTCCACCAGTGTTGCCACCATTAATCATGTGGATGTGGCATTTGTATTGCTGATGGGAGCCTCCTTCCTCGTCATCGAGGCCCCCTATTTCACGCTTCTTCCCCTGTGGGTTCCCCAATGGGATGGTGTTGGGGTTCACCCACTTGTTCGCCTTCGGCAGAGGCCCTTGGTGATGAGGGGGGCCCTGGGGGGGAGGGCCCCTGACAAATTGGGATAAGTGGCCCGCCTGTATTAGCCTCTCGATGGCTGTCTTCAGCTGGTGACAGTCATCGGTTTTGTGTCCATGGTGGCGGTGAAAGCGGCAGTAAGGCTCATCAGGGCTGATGGCATAAATCTCGAGGGGTGTGCGGGAGTCTCGCTCCACGAGCCCTCGCTCTTCTGCGTAATCCAAAATGATGCTAACGGGATGCGTCAGGGGAGTGCGTGGGTGCTCAAGGAGGACGGGTTGCGCCCATGCCTTCGGATTGTTTTTGTAACCGCCCCCGGGTCTGGCTTGGCCACCTCGGGAGCGATCGTTGTACTGTGCCTCTCGGTTGGCCGGAGGGGGAGGCCCTCCGGGTCGATTCCTACCTTCATTCTTCTGAGAAGGATCCGTGTTGCGGCGATCCTTCTCGATTTCTTCTGCCTCGGCGTATCGGTCCCCCCGCTGAAGGGCTTTTGTATAATCGCGGGGGGGATCAGTGATAAGGCTCCGGGAGAAGTTACCGTTGCGGAGGACGGTGTGGAAGAGGGCCATTAAGGTTCTGTCATCGGCGCCCTCAACCTCAAGGGAGGCTTGCCTCCATCGTTCCAGGAAACTCCGAAGGGTTTCCTCCTTCTGTTGTCTCACGTTCAGCAGGTGGGAGAAGTGTTTCTTTGAGCGATGCCTCCCAGCGAATTGTGTGAGGAAGCGGTGGGCAAGTTCTTGCCAAGAATCGATGCTGCCTTCGGGCAACCGGTTGAACCACTCATACGCTGGTCCCTCCAAGGTGGAAAGGAACCAACGGCATAAGTATTCATCCGAGGCCCCCATCATCATCATGCTATTTTGATAACGGCTATAGAGTTCTTGGGGATCCGTCTTCCCCTCGTATGGCTTGATAGGTTGCCCCCGATATTTGTGGGGGATTTTGGCCGCCAGCACCCTTGGGGTGAAAGGCGTCCTAGTGCGGAGCTGAATGAGGGGCTCGCCTGAGCCTTCGGCAAGTTTACGCTTCATTTCCTCCACTTGCGCCCGGAGGTCAGCGTACTCCGGATCTGGCCTCGCTGTTGAAGCTGTCGGGGGTGCCTGACGATTCTCCTCAAGTTGACGGAGGAGGGCCTCGATGATTTCGTCCTTGGGATCCTTCGGGGCAACCCCTTGGGAGTTGGCCCGGAAGGATTGCGCCTGATTGATTTGGTGCCTGGCATCATCGGCATGGAGGAGGGCTTTGCCTTTGCTCCGGGGTGGAGGCATGCCCTCGGCTCCCGAAGCGGAGGCTCCACTCTCCTGGGGCCTGCTGAATTCCTTCTTGCCGAGGCGGTCTTGGACCCCTCGGCGCCCGGGAACTCCCCCAACCTCTCAAGTGCAGAGGTTCGGGGTTTCTCCTTCATCATGGGGCGCTTATCCCTAGATTGGGCCTCTTGGGAGGCGGTATCCTGCGCCATGACCCCCTCGTCGTTGCCAATCACTGGGGGAGGATTGTTGAACAAAGGAGGGAGTGGTGGTAGTTGGATAACATCTCCAGCATAGGGCTGAAGGGGTGCTTGAGAGACGAGGGCTCCGGAATTGAGAGCCATGTTTTGAACAAAGGCCGCAAAGGCAACCTGAAGATCGATGGCCGGGGCCGGAGGGGGAACTTGGTTCTCACTCTGATCCCTCCTTCGATTATCAAGGCCAATGCGGGCGTCAGGGGCGTTTTTCTGTAGCTGCTGATGGAGGTCAGCGGTGGCCTGCTCTAATTCGAGGATGATACCACCCTCGGGTACTAATAGCCTGTTGGAGGCCTCAGCCCCGTTGGTTTCGCCGGGGGCTACATGGTTCTCCTCGAGGTTCTTAGATTGAGCACGAGTTGTTCTTCCCATTTTGGTAGGTGTTTTTGTTTGGCGAAGGGGGAGGGTTTCTTACTTGATTGTTCAGACCTCTCAACGAGAGCACCAAATGATGGACAGTCTACCCGAGGGGTATCTTATCCGAGGGGTTATTGCGGGAATAACTAGAGAGAAGTCAGAGTAAACAGGAGGAGAGAGAGTCGATTTTATTAAATGAACTCAGCGTGGTTTACAAGGAGAATAAGGGCTGCTATTTATGGCAGCAATAAATGCGATGAGAGTACACGTGTCAGTAATCCAACGGCCGAAGGGTCACATCAATTGGGTGGCACCGGCAGTGGCATGTTCACCGCATTGAATGTGGTTGGCGGATGTGACGTCGCATTAAATGCGGTGGTTGGCTGTCATCAAAGGGAATCTTTGATGATTGAGCATGTTTGGCCGAAGGCTCCTTATGTAGCCGAGGGCTCCATGTAATAGAGGACCCTTGCGTGGCCGAAGGCTCTGTGCGACCGGAGGCCTGGTTCGGACGAAGGCTTTTCTGATGTCGAGGGCTTGATGGTGCCGAAGGCTCCTGTTTTCCGCCGTTTTCTCCCAGTAGCTTCGTATGCCCAAAAAAGGCTATCCTGTGAGTTTTGGAGCCTTCGGCCAAGGAGGCCGAAGGCACCCCAGTGTGTATTCTGGGCTTCTTTGAGGTTCGGGCCGTCGCATTTGGGCCTGAGTTGTTCTCTGGGCTCAATGGACTTGTGTAGGAGAAGTAGGAGTCTATGGGCCGGGGGTTCCTGGGCCATATACTCCATCAATACCTCTAACAATTGATGTTTCATATACATTTTTGTGTGTGCATTTTTATATATAATCATTCTACCTCCTTATTTTATATTTAAATTTTTAGAAGTATTTTACTATTTTTTTAATTTAATTTAATCTAGTGGCGATCTCTCTTTCTTTAATGAATTGAAAAGCTTATATTATTTTTTTAGTGTTCATATATCCTTGCTGACTTTTTTAGTACATTATTTAGATTGGTATTCAACTTTCTAAATTTTGAATTCGAGTATTTACTCATCAATTTCTATTATGTTACTGATCTTATTACTTCCTTGTATAATGTCCAAAGCAGGAGAAAGAAATAATGGCCTAAATAACTCTCCCACTTTTAGTTGACAAATATATGATCAATTATCACTAAGACAAATAAGTGAGCAAAACTAGCTGCCAATTAAACAATGATCTTTTCTAGCTCCTGTCATTCGGATCAACTAGTTTTGTTTCAAATATTAATTATTACTAGAAACGATCAACGAACCGATGGTTAATCGTTGATGGTTTCACAAGTAAGTAACTTCGGTTTATTAATGCACGGTCGTGGTTAGTAAACTTAAGAGGGATTAATTTTGTTGGTTAAACCAAAACCGTTGTGTTGAGGTTATCAATCTCAATTGATTTCATCAAGGAGTTAAGAGATTAAATGCTACTATCAAGTAGGTATATGGCGTTGTTCTATACTTGACTAATAGTAAGGGTTATTAATGAACGGTCGTTGTTAATAACTTTCCTCGATGAATTGGATATATTCCTCGATTGAGTATTCGAGAGGAGATAAGTTATAGATATAACAATGATCGACTGAAATATATCAACAAGTGGAAAGTAGCAATGCCAAGTCCTTTTTATCTTTGAATTAAATCACATATAACTCGTTCATCTTCGTGTTTAATTTAATTAAATCATTCAACCCAAAAACCCCCTTTATTTACTCCTTTCGTTAAAAAGATAAATTATTCCTTTCCCTGTGGATACGAACTCTACTTCACCTATACTACGTATAAGTGTTAGTATCGATTTATTTTGAGTGCACACACGACAAAGTGCACGTCAAATTTGGCGCCGTTGCCGGGGAAAGACAATTATTTTTCTTTTTATTTTATCTAATAAAAATCAAAAACAAAAAAATAAAAAATAAAAAAATATTTAAAAAAAAACTTACTCTTCTATTTTCTGAGCTTACATGAGTTATGAGTATATGGATGCCAACATATCATCCTTAGAGAGTGAAATTTCCTTCTTGACTTCTCTAATAAAGGAATTTATCATAAACTCGGAAGCTCAAGATGCCAAGACATGCAACATTTGCATGTCTCACAGGCATTTTACGGATTTCTGTCCAAAGCTCCAAGATGAATACCTTGAACAAACTGATGATGTTGGTTACGAAAGAGATGTACCTCACATGAGGTATAATCCGTTCTCCAACTCTAACATGTCTACGGAGGATATGGTCCGGGCTATTGCTACCAACATGACCACTATGCAAAACAACATGGTGCAATTCCAAAATGAGACCAAGTCTAGCATTTTGAACTTGGAAACTCAGATGAGTCAAATAGCCGGAGCCGTGAGTAGGCTTGAAGCAAGGGATTCAGAAAAACTTCCTTCTCAAATAGAATGTGATCCTGAACAACAAACTTTTGCAATCACATTGACAAATGAAAAGGAAATGCAAAAGGAGACCCAGAATCCAAAAGAAGTAGAAGAAGAAAAAGACACGGAGCTCCAACTGGTCAAAGAAGAGGATAAGCCGAGCTTCAAATTCAAATTTTTGTCATTGTCATCCTTTGAGGTATCTCCATCATCCCTGGACGCTTTAAGAGAAACTCATAAACTTGAAAAGGACAATGACATTTCTGAAATCTTCTTCAAAACTGAGGGATCGAAAAACTTCTCATTGACCATGCTAAACGATAATTTCTTCCCCTCCCTCCCACCACATGAATCAATGAAAATCTGGATATTTGATCCTGGAAAGATTTCCAAAGTGAAGAGTCGAGAAATTTATCATTCCTATGGAAGTCCTAGGAGTGAAAGTGTGAAGAAGATAAATTATCACGATCCGAGTTTGAACGATTGAACACAATGATGGCGTCGTGCCGCGACGTTAAACGAGGCGCTTCTTGGGAGGCAACCCATGCAAGGTATGTTTACTTATTTTATTTTATTTTTGCACTTTTCAAAAAAAATCGTATCACCCCATTCAAACCCAACACCCCAAACCCTCCATAGTTACAACCTCACACTTTCATATCTTCTTCATACATCCACCAAATCAACAAACTAAACCCATATTCTTCTTATCCTCCCCACATTTTTCATTTATATACCAACAAAACCCACCAAATAATCCAAAATCCGAATCCCCTAACTCCACCTACACCAAGTCCGAATTCTCCTTTTCTATGACGTCTTGAAGATGAGCACTAGGGACAGTGCTTTGACTATTTGGGGGAGAGTTTCATGGAATACTCACATTCATACTCTTTATTCTTGTTTTTTTAAAACAAAAGAAAAAAAACATAAAAAAAGCTAGTTAGGTTGAAAACCCAAATGGGCAATCTAAGCAATAAAAGCAAAAGAAAAAATGAGTGAGTAGGAGAGAAAGAAAAAAAATGAGAGGCTAGGAAAAAAAAGAATCCTAGGCAAAATGAGAGAAATGAGAGAAATTATTTTTACAGGGATGTTGTGACACCGCTCCCGAACGTCCTTGAAAATTCGATTTAAAATTCAAAGTTTATGTATTGAATTTCTGATTCCCAAACAATTGTGAAACGATTGTTGTTTTACGTAATTAATGATTGATTATTATACTGTTCGAACTCGTATATTAGTATCGGGCCTTATTAATAAATAAAAGATCCTAACATTATCTAAATAGTTATACATAACGTTTCAAGACAAGTTGAGGAAGGGCGGGCAGCCCATATATTATTTGGGCCCAACCTGCTAAAGTAGCAAATATTTGAGGACGGCGTCGTAGGCCCACTCGGGGGCGACCCACACGGCTTGTAGCCCAATCATACGTATGACAAATGTCAATAAGTGATAGAATGATTCAAGAAGAATACAAATGCCTATAACCCCATCTTTGGCATTATTGAGCTAAATAATGGGAGTAGGGTGTTTCTTCTATAATATTCATCATGTAAATTATTGGGATGATCATACACATATTGGAGATCAATAATATGATGTAGAGGGTTGACTTGTTCCAAATAAATTAGAATGAGTACAAAGAGACATCTTATGACAAAGAGATCAAAAGTGAGACCCACCCATGTCTAAAAACATCTCATGGAGACCATACCAATTCATTTCACTCCACACAACTTATCCACCCTTATTGAAGGGTCTTGGACACTCCCTTAATCCCCTCATTCGAACTCCCAAGGATAAGGGAGAAGGAGAGAGCCACACAACCAAGAAAGCAAGAGAAAGGGGAAGCTGCCGCAGGTTCGTTCTCCAGTGCGTAAGGTTACTTGTTTGCTTCATATC